TTTGAAAAATTAAACTTTTATTATCCCGGAAAATGGCTAGGAAATATATTTGTGGCACTATTAAAGTTTTCCCTGGATATCTACATTATATTCATCTAAATATTATTTTAGACATTTTATTTAGAGTGCAATAATCGAATTTCGATTCATTTAATGTTCATGTTATATTTGAGCAATTAAATTGTATATATATATATATATATAGTATATATATATATGTACACTATTTAAATATTTCTTTACGTCAGGATACTTGAAGGTAAAGTCAAAGGTGTAAAGTTATAAAAGTTTATAATTAATTTAACATTGTATTGATTTGTTGAAATGTGAAGTCTCAGAAATATTCTCCAATAATAGCGTTTCAAATTTCGTTGCTCAGTGTTGAAAACATTACAGTATTATGAAAAAATCCTTGATGCAAGATACGATTATTTTGAAAAATGTCTTCAGATACAAATGAATCAGTACCTCTTTCCTGACTTTCTTACAAATTATTTGTCTTCCTAGTTGAATCATCATATGATAAAAAAGAGAACTAAACAAATTTTATATAATAAGAAAATGAAATAAAAAAATGTTGAGCATCAGAAACGATGATCAAACACAGCGATGTGATAAAAAATAAGAACATTTTATGTGAAATCAATTACGTAATAATAGAACAAATTATGTTAATCTTTAGACTGAACTCAGTACCAAGTCGAACTCAGCAGGCACTATACAAATTGTAGAATATGTGGAACGGCGGCACGAACGTTTAGTCGGAAATAGAACCTTTAGCTGTAAATAGAGATCACTTAGGCAGACTTTGTCGCACGAACGTTTCCCTGAACGAAGTAGTGTGTTTCTCCTTAATGTATGTCGCTCTCACGCAAGTACGGGAATAGGCGAGCTCGAAAGACGTCTACGCACATTAATTTAAATGAACGAACTTGCAAACTTCGGATTCAAACTTTGCAAATTGCGTTCCGCTCGACACGAGCAAGTTATTATCTAGACAGGCGAAAATGTCTTGTCGTGAGCGATCGGCCTATGACGTTATCCCGACCTTCGGGTTATCAACCGCCGTTACTAACTTTCCCGTCTTCCTTCCTGGAGGAAGCCTAGGAGTCATTAGTGTGGATTCAGAGTAACGTAAAATAAGCGATATCACCGTAAGTGTGTCCCATAGTGTCAACCCCGCGAAACCGACCGAGGTCCTTTTACTTCTCACTGACTCTCGTCGATCGCACGTGCACCACCATACGACACTTTAAAGCGTACCTGTTTTTCTTTACTACTTCGACATCTTTTTTTCTCGTCACGCGACATCTTGAAACGCAGAGTTCTCTATTTTTTGATTCGATTGTACTTAGATATCATAGGTATACAGGGTGAATCCTAAATGATAGGTGTAAGTGCAGAGCGTTACGTGAGACGCCTCGCGATGGAAAAGTACGCGCGTTTCGCGGATGAAACGGAATCTCGACGGAATTAAAAAATAACGTCAGTAACGGAATTTTTAATGATAAGAATTTTTAATAATTAAAAGTTACCGAACCATCACCAGCCAAAGTATATCTAACATTACAACGTATCTTAAAACGGAATCTTAAAATCAAAGTTATATATAAACATACTGCATTAATATTATATATTTTCATATTTTATAAGGTTTTAAGTCACGAGATTTCAGAAGTTCCGAGAAGCTCAGTCCAACATATCTGTCAATAAAAACCCGCTTGTGCGCACAATATTGACGTAGATATTTCATGACAGCTGATAATTCTTAAGTCAATGAAAGGCTATTAAAACTTAAGAAATTTACTGAAGAATTAAATAGCTTCGCTGAAAGAACAGACGCAATCCGTGCGTGTTAGGTCCGAAGTTATCACTTCCTCGAAGTGAAGTTTTCTTCGGCGAACTCTGTTTCGAGACCGCGCAACACGCGATTCATTTCTAATGCGAGGAATTCCCAGGTTGCACCCTGCAGATGCACAGACATACATGCGTCGTTCGAAAAATCCCTCTGTGTTTATAGCGTGATAAGCTTTCGGACGATCTTTGATCTTCCGTTAACTTTCAGTAATAGCCCTCCAGAGGGCAATAAAGAGGAAAGCTAGTTGCTCCCGCGACGCGGATCGCGGAGAAAGTGGAATAGGACATATGTAGCCAGACATGTTCTTGGATATCAAGACTAGCGATACTCAGATTTCTTTGCTTCCTGGAATACGAAACATGAATAAAAGCGTTGCTAATAATTCAAGTAACGCAAAAATAACATTTTTTAAATAGAAATATTTAAAAAAAAAATTACATAATTCATTTGATAGAGTTTTAAATCGCGTCTTTTAAAATTCTTAAGAAAGCAGTATAAAGTAATACAAATTATATAATAATTTTTACATTATTATTTTTGACCAGTAAAAGAGAGCAAATAACAGTTACGTTATGGTAAACATCTAAAATTCTAGTTATTGCAAGATATATCGGAAATATTCTGATGGATATTTTGGATACTTTTTCTTTTAAATGTACCCAAATATCCGAAGAACTAATTATTCTGGTTATCCAAGAACATTTATCAGATGCTGATGATGTATGGAAAAGCGTTGAAGAAGCGCGAGACAAGAGGGAGACTTGTCGCGAGGATTCTGGATCTCGCAGTGAGAAAGTCAATGAAAAAGTCGTGTATGTTTCGGTAGTTTCTATTACGACGCGGTTAAAAAAACCATGCGTACTCCTAAAATTCTTATAGGCCTTAGATCGTGAATTTATGAGAACACTGTTGAAATCCTAAAATGTCTATTATATGAATGTTGATCATGTTTGCGAACACGCAGCGAGAAATCGAAGATGAAGGAAGAGATTATAAAAAAAGAGAGAAATTATTCGAATGGCACGCAGAAAGGTCTATTATATATAAATATATATATATTAATATGCATACACATGCATCTGTAAATATATATGTATGTGAAGATCTTGTATTCACATATGCATATATATATATATATGTGAGGATGCGTATGCATGTACGATGCGTGTGTAGATAAGAAGAAAAAAAAAAGTATACCTGAAGCTTCCGCCGAAAATAATATTTTCGTAGCTCACAGCGATTTAATCCCACGCACTCCTTTCTCTAATCAACCTTCTCTTTTCCTCCCGACATGCCTGGGGATGTTATAGGTTATACCCGGCTTAACTATAGCTGCATAATGTATCAGATCGAGTTGAGTACTTCTAACGCAAGTGATTGTCGAGAAGTTCTCATTCTGTTCCGAACGTATCACGCTCAAAATGTTCCCAACGATCCTTCCGCTCGCCGAGGCTGTGCGCGCGTTCTGAGGTTGTGACAATCCTTATTTTTCTATTCTCTGTGTACACTAGATCGTAAGACGTCGTGTCGCGATACATCCGGGTGTAAGGCCTAGGGTGTGATCCACTTAACGCTGCAAATACATCGTTGACCAATCAGAAGAAAGAATTTTACGAATTGATCAAAGAATGCTTCAAAGCATTTGTAGCGTGAAGTGGATCGCACCCCTAGTCTACCATCAGTCGGGAGACAGTGTCGTATGTTGTGTGCATGCGTATAACCTTCATTTTTCATGTAGGATGTCGATGTCAACTGCTGGACGTCGTTTGAATTGGTCAGGTCCCATCTTTTACGACTAACGACATCCGACAATCATCAGCTAACTTGATTGTAGACGAGGCCTAACACGCGAGAATCCGACACACGACGATCGCCACGTCCGCGCGGGGACGAGAACACCAGGGCGTCGATTAATTAATCGTAATTCGATCGAACTCGAATTGCAACGATTGCGAAATGCACTTACAGTGGTCAAGCTGGGTATAACCGTGACCGATCCGTTCTTCATCCCTTCTGGGTTTCCTACAATAAACCATTACCTAAGCTTTTAAGTCTTAAGCCGTAAGACATTGACCAATCGAATGTGAGAAGAATAATCGACTATGATTGGTGAATTTCTTACAGCTTAAAACTTAAGGCTGAAGTAACGACTTATCGTAGAAAGCCTATTCTGCCTATTCCATTGTATCGAGGATAAAACCGCGACAACCGGCATTCGGGAAGACAGTATCGAGGGAAACCGATCCTCTTCTTTCGACAATCCAGATATGTTACCCGGTGCCTCGGCGACGTTACGCGATTTCACTCGTGCGAAAGACGAACGTCCTGAATTTCACACGCTCGCAAGGTCAGCCTCATCTTTAAAGCTTTAAACGAACGATCCTCTTCGGACTGCGCCTCCTAAACTGAGGAGACGGGCGAGATACGCTCTCGTGATAATGAAAAACCGGCATTATAATATTGAAAACTGTTATAACCATGCTGCTGCTGCTGCTGATGATGATAATAATAATGTGATGAAGAAAAAACTTAAGGAGGAGAGTTTGTTTTCGCGCGTTGCCAACCTCTGTTTCCGCGATGCCGTGATCCTCCTTAAAATCCTCAGCAGATTCGACACCCTGGTGGCTGATACAAGGATTCATCGGATTCGCAATAGATCTCGCACAGAGGAGAAGAGAGATCATTGATTTTTTTTTCTTTTTTTTTTCTTTTTTTTGGCCAATTTATTTTGGCCATTGCAACGATGCATCCATCGCAGCTCGTTTTATTCTAAATCAACCTTAATTAAAATTTGTAAAAAATAATATAATGTAATTGGTATTACACTAAACTTTTTCGGACGAACGGCGGTTTTCTTCTAAAGACGTTTTGCGTTATGTAAAAATATTATAAGTGCGTATATTTATTTTATAAACATTTATTTATTTTAGAATATAATTTTAATCGGAATCATGTAATTCCCATTTTATGGCTTTGCTAGCAACATGATGATTTCAAGATGGCAATTTAGAAATGGGATTATGGCAAACGCTTTTGCGCTCAAAGGACATTTTTCTTTGCTTACATTCGTCTCGAGAGGACGAAGAAAATTAAATTAAATCTATAAAAGAGTTAAATGGTGGATGTGAATTTGTTTGCGCAGGTTGACTTCTCGCGGATGAGACGACTGCATTTTGCATACCAAACGCAAAAATCTCAACATACGAGTCGAATATTGGTAAACCATTTTCGTCGCAAGTTTATATTTTTATTTTATTGGCATCACATCTTCAGACGATCAAATCATGTCGACGAAATTATCGGACATTCAAATTATTTTCATGTTTTTTTGTAACTAAATCAAAATTACAACAACGACGACGAAGATAATTATGTTACCATAAACAATCAATCATGACAAAAAAAAAGAGGGAAAGAAAGAAAATCACATTTTCCTATGTTTTTCCGCAGCTCACAATATTTACATATGAGTATTCTTTCCTCATCCTTTCCTTGTTCAATAATTTCCTATTTCAAAAGAAGAATTCACAATTTCATATGCATACCTGCCACGCGACACAAAACGATCAATCAAATATCAATCATTGTGTCACGCATTTCACATTCTTTGCTTCATCTTCATTCCACAAAATTGAATAATTGCAGTTCTCGACTACGACAGTCGATCTTATACAAAAGTATTACAGTCATTAGTAATTTCATCAACTTTGCGATTGTCATGTCATTAGATCGAATATGAAATCTTCGAGTCGCTACAAATCATTCTCTCTGATCATCGCGGGTTCGTGCTCATCTCTTCACAATCATTGAATCACAAATTAGTCGAAGCAGACTTGTACATGAAACACATACGCGCAAAAATCATCGCACGAGATAGATTGTTCGGTAGCTCCCATGATGATCATCGTCTCTCTTCGAGTCGTGCAACTCGCATGGGGACTTAGGTCCAGCATGTTGCATGCATCGTTAGGAATTACGTGGTTGTAGTGTACGTCATCGCAGCAGACGTTCATTATCGTTCACGTTGTCATCGTCGTCATCCTCATCATCGACATTTTACGAGCTATTCGTCGAGGCTCCTTGCAACGCTGTTCTTTCATGACGTTAATCAAGTCATAGGAATTAATCTCTTTAATTATTTTGATCGTAAATTATTGTAAAAGATACTTGAAATAAAATTATAAAAATCTTTTATTAAATACATATACTAATCATGATATAAATTTAGGAGATTTTTTTTTTATTAATTAAGAGAGGAGAGAGAGAGAGAGAGAGAGAGAGAGTCGCGAGGAGCCCCCATAAGCTCGCTCGTCCAACATCGCTTTTATCGTCGTTGAACAATCGTCTAAGCTCTCCCGGTGAGATCGCGTCATCTTTTCCCGTTTCATCTGTTTGCTCGCGATGTCGTGATTGTTTTGATCATCGTCGTCAATTACGCGAGGATCTGAGAAAGTGGTCGCGCCGAGAGAGCGCGCCATTTTAATGCGAGTCATCGGCAAGTATACGAAATTATCCGCCGTCATTGTTTCGTAATCCCTCTCTTGCATTATCTCCTTTACTTCTCGTTCATCCCGTCCATAGAGACCTTGGTGTCGCAATTAGAAAGACGCATGTCATCCCTCCCCCATATATTATCAAACCCCTTTAACACCCCGCCAGTCTCAATCTTGAGGCGCTAAATGCATGCTGCACGCGCGCGCAGAGAATCTGCATCTGTCATCTAGCTGTCAGCTCCGTTCGTCCCGTTCGGCGAATAAGACATACGTGGACATCAGGATGACGATCATTGTCCGCGAAGGTCCACGAACGTCGGATTACCTATCGGGAGAGCTCGCTAATTCGGCATTTCGTCTACGAGAGTGAGACGGAGAGGATCATTTAGTTTATCTACGAGTCCTGTCGCGTTGGAAAATTTTCTCAGTCGAAAGAAAGTATTTTTTATGACTAGAGTCCTTTAGTTTATGTCCAAATGTTTAGGGCCTATCTTGAGAATGTTTACGTGCATAGAGAATTTAAAACTTAAATTTATCACATCATAGAAAATTTAATAAATGTAGTCTTGATTGATTGTTGGAGAAATGCAAGAAAATTTAACTGTAATCTAAAATCAAAGTAGGAAATTGTTGTTGCAAATAGAATTATTATCCATATAGTATCGATTTTATCTATTTGCATTATTACGTAGGAATTCATCGATTTTATCTATTTGCATTATTACGTAGGAATTCAAAATAGTTTCATGCTATTGTTAGATATAAAATAGATGTATTGTTCTATAAGGATGATCTGCTCTCATTTCGTGCATGCATCGATAATTGAGCAACATTAAGTGACAATGAAATTGACGTATTAATTTTGCGCGGCTTTCCGATACAAGCTTGCTTTCATTATAGAGTATAAGTGATAAAAAAAGCAAAGTAATGAATTTAATCGCGTGACTCGTAGATGAAATAAATGTCACCTCTTGCCCAATAGAGCTTAAGGTACAACTAATAATTAAGATAGAGCTAAGTTAGCGATAAGTCAGCAATGGATGGCAGTCCCCAATTCCGCAGAACTCTTCTGACAGTCGGAATGAATATTTTCTTATCGCCAACAATACATTACTAAAATAATTAAATACAGATTTAAAAATTTAGTTAAGATAAAAAATAACAAGCTTACTATGATATTTAATTAATTAAGATATTGAATTATAATATGAGTATGTCCCAAAACCTTCGATCTTAATTTTAACAACAGACTCTTTGACTAATTCGAAGCAGATTTTTCTTTTCTTGGAATGAGTTATATAACATTGATATAAAAAGATAAAAAATTTGTCTCGAAATAAATTTCCGGGCTTTATATAATAAAAGTCCATTACACATTTAAATTCAAGTGAGCTTAACTGTCTCAACGCCGTAATTAGAGATTTAATTACTTAATTATTCGATAAATATTAAAACGTTGTATATAAAAGTATGTGCTTTGAAATTTCTCTCGTATGAAAAATTGACTCCGAATTCGCCGAGGAGTCTGTCATTATAATTAAGCTCGTAGATTCCGGGACATCTAAGATATAAGGACGTAAAAACGAGCGGACGTACGTTCGGAAGAGGGACGGCGGAGTTGGACGGCCTTCGTGGTGAGCGAAGCATTATTAAACGTGGTGCCCCAATATTCTAGCTTTCTGAGGAGGTAAGGAAATTCTTCACCCGCCCAAGAAGCTCTTCCGAGCCACCATCATCATCACCGCCACCACAACCACCACCATCCTTCCCTCTCTGTTTCCATCTACATGATTACCGTATTACGTAACGGAGTGTTTCGATGTATATCGTAGCCACTGTACTTGTTACTCTGTATATCTCTTTCTGTCTCTGTCTCTTTCTCAAACTCTGTCTTCCTATTGGCGTGAATCGTTGACCGACTGTCTCGCAATCATCATTTCACGCATCTCACGTAAAAAGAAAAAAAAAAGCTTACACACCGGTCTCTAGACAATGATTTCTTAGAGGAAGACCGTTACTCTCCCAGACTCGTCATCATTCGAACTCATCCATCCCATATCGGTCGGAAGAGCGAAAGAAACGAAGGACTTTCGTTCATCTTCGTCAACATCATTCGACAGAATCGTTGTGTGCGTGTGCGTGCGTGTGTGCGACCTAGTGACACCGTAGATAATCATCGTAGATAATCATCGACGTCATCGTCCTCGAAGCGAGGGAGTGCGCACCCTCCGTCACTTCGATGACTTTGAGGATTGATGTGGGGCGATATTGCCGCCGTCGTGGATGCCGCGATAGCCGCTGTCGATTAAATCGATAGCTGATGCTGGATGAGAGCGAACTTACGTCTTGAATTTCTTCTCTCAAGTGCAGATGCAGATTTCTCAAATGTCTTCGCATCTGAGAAAGGAAATATGATAACGATTCGCTCGTTTCTCATCTAGTGTCTTGACTAGATGTAGTATGAGACGCATGACAGAGATCCTCTATCCTTGCTACGCGCGAATCAGATGATTCTCGTAATTTAATTTGGACACTTTCTTACGTTTGAAATCATCTTCATGCAAAATAAAGGAATTATTACTCTATATTTATACTATATGTATGACATTTGGCTAAAAAAATTAGAGCATATATTGAACAGCTACTAATACATTGCAGTGATATATTATTTATTGCACGGAATACAAATTTCTCTGTTATAGCTAATCCTGGTTTGTCAAAATATATTTACTGCCGTTATTATAAATGACCCCGCACCAATCTTATGGGAAAATGTCTTTTTGCGAATTTGACTAATTTTTGGATATATATGTTGTAGTTCTCTTCATTCTGAACAACCAGATTTTACATGATTACTGGACCTTCCAAGGCTTGTAACACGGAAACGGCTCATAGGATCAAATTGTGCCCATTGAGATATTTGTTCAGACTGAAGAGAACTACAACATATCCAAAAATTAGCCAAATTTGCAGAAAGACATTTTCCCATAAGATTGGTGCGAATTTTACATGATTACTGGACCTTTCAAGGCTTGTAGCACGGAAACGGCTCATAGGATCAAATTGTGCCCATTGAGATATTTGTTCAGAATGAAGAGAACTACAACATATCTCCAAAAATTAGCCAAATTCGCAGAAAGACATTTTCCCATAAGATTGGTACGGGGTCATATAAACTACGGCAATTTTACATTTATCATTTAGCTACCACACATAATTTTTAGTTACGGCAGCTACTTTCCGTGTGTAAAAATTACAATCTAAAAAATCATTTTTTAGGAAGCAAAGCTCACATTAAAACTCGGGAATTAGAATACAAGAATTTAAGTTTTCAAGCACTAATTATTCTCTAATTAAGCCAACATTTTCTTTGGCTCGAAGTCGAAACTTCGAAGCTATGCAATTCCCAGGGAGGATCTCACGGAATCGCGATCTCGCTCGCATCGCGTTTACGTACGTAGTGATTAGTCAGTAGTAGCTGTGTTGCGTTTATCACGACTCTGCTTTAAGATCGTCGCGAGATCTCGCATTCTGACGATATGTCGCGACGAGTCTTTTCACGCGGCCTGCCGGCAACCCAGAGTAGACGAGCGTAGGTACGTACACGAAAATAAAAGAGACATATCGACGTGATATATATAATCCCGAATATTTCTACCCTTCTCCAAGCGTGCGCGTGAGATTTCACCTCTTTGTGTCATATGTCTCCAGCACACTTCGCTGTGTGTGTACACGTGTGTGCATATATATTTACTTATATACGAATGTGCATAATCCATACGTATAAATAAATATATATACATGTGCATCTTTTACACTCCCAAGAAACACTGTTTGTAATTTTGTATCGCTGGCCTCAATTACGCTGCATGCTTCGTGCAAATCCTATCCGAGTACGACGACGACGTTTTTTTCCTCCTTGATTTTTTTATTACTTTTATACTAGATTCTCTTAATAATTATTACACTAAGAAAGTCCATGATCCAGGCAGTCAGTTTGGTCAATGGAATCGATCAATTCCAGTGGGTTAACTAACTCAGCCCAAGACTTTATCCCTTTTTAGATTAGTTTTAGCTGTGTGTAGCTTGAAAGGGAAGTTAGTTAACTGCGATTAATATGACAATTAACAATGTGTTGTAAAAAGTTTAAGAATTCATTAATAGATTTTGGATTTGAGCTCAAAGTTCAAGAGATCGGATTGTTCTTATAAATTTAGGTTCGACCGAAACTGGCTCGCACACGTAGTTTCTTGTTTGACTTTGTAATTAGGTCATGATCGTAATAGCTCGAATGTCAGCCTTCTTTATTAATCCGTTCAGGAATCAAGAAAGGCGCATAAATGAATTAAATATAGCAACGGAATGGAGTAGGACGACAATGCGACTTGATTTTTAATTCTCGATGTGAAAACCTTTTGCAGAGTCGATCTACGTCGACGTAATTTTAATTAAAGTAATCTCGATCTTTCTCAAGAGCGGCTCGTGTCAAAGTCCAATGGCAATTAAGTAACTCCGTGGTTATATCCCGCAAGGCTGTTCGCTTGGAAAGCAATTTCGCGCGCAATTTGAATCAGGAATAATTTAAGATATGCGGCACGATGCAGGCACGAAAAGTGTGTTATATAAGTGCATAAAAGATATTTTTTAAAGTTATTGTAATATCATCGAAAAATTGGAAAATACTATCTACTATTTCATTGAATTTTTAAGAATAAATTAGATTTACAATTTTTTTCAATTAACTCTCGGAGTTAAAGGACTTGATAAATCGGAAATATTTAAATCTTAATAAAAAAAATTCATAAATTACGATTACTCGTTTCGACAGTTTTCGATATTTTTTGTTTTGAAAGTTGTCGCCTTTGCTAAATTAGAACTCACTGTCATCAACCAAGTTAGAAATATCCAAACGAGCCTACAGCCACGGTTTTGCATTAAAAGAAGACATTTGTGCGCGCATCCTTGCCTGGTCCTTATCAGATGAGGTTATCATCGTCGTCGTACTCGGTCATGGTGAAGAGCCTACAGACGGTTTCAATACCTCTGTCGCTCGTCGCCATCGTCGTTACGTCGTCTGTTGTTGTCGTCGTCGTCATCGCCAACACGGACGGAGCTCAGGGACTGATCCTCGCCTGGACGACGAATCTTTTCGCAGCTGGACGAGCTCCGGACGGAGGTACAGCGACGAGACCAAGAGCTGCTGGCAATGTCGGCGAAAATGAAGACACTCGAGGAGCAACATCAGGATTACCAAAGACACATCGCTGTACTCAAGGAATCTCTCTGCGCCAAGGAGGAACATTATAATATGCTGCAAGCTGATGTAAGTGTAACTTTAATTTTTTTGTTTTATTTAAAAAATGTAGTGTCATAAATTCTTAAACGTATATTATTTTTTATGCAGTTAAATTTTGTAATGCAAAATTGTAAAGAGGTTTAAAGACGTATTTAACAAATAATTATAGTGTTGTTAAGAAAATAATTTTCACTTAAGTGTAGAAAATAGGTTGTTTAATTATGTTGATGTAATTTTATTTGTTATGCTTAGAAATTTGAATTTAGAAATAAATTTGCTAGTTTATTAATCATTTCTCGTTGCTTTCGGAAACAAAAAAATTTTTAATATTATTATAGTTTGAAAATATATGCGAATTTACAAAAATTTGCCAAATATGTTTTCGGTAAACAAGTTTACCGCAGGTTTTGTTATTCACACTGATGCGAAACTGGAACACAACTGAGACTCGAAATCGATACCAAATTTCTGACCGCATCTCTAAAATCCAAGTATTTGTCGAATACGTTCTCTAGCATGTGGTTGCAACAAAGTTCCTTAACCATTCTAATGCTGTTATCCGGAAACTCGCATGAAGGATCATTACCTCAAATAAAGAAGTCGTTGGTTTAATTTTCCCAGCCTTTACACGCTCTTTTAATACTTTTAAGAGTTAAAAGCAAGCTCGGAGAGCTAAGAAATTTCTTTGAAGGTCTAACATCGAGTAAAACTAGGACAAAGCTGCAAAATCGAATTTGAATGATGTGATCAGAAATGTTGACCCATCTCACGCAAACCCCATGAATTCTAAAACGATCATTGAACAAGAAAAATTATTGACGCAAACTTTATTTCAAATTCATCCCTGTTTTCAATTCGTAAAGTAAATTCTTGATTTTCAATGCTCCAGCATCTTACGAGATGTAATCTTCTGGTTGTAGGATGCTTAAAATTAGGAAGAAAACCAAATTTTTAGTATAAAAAGTACAAAAATCTCGCGTTCTTATTTTATATTTTCAATTAAAAATTTTTAACTTTTTATTTTTGTCTTATATTTAGAATTAGTTAAAAACTAAGAATTATTTGAGGAACAGACTTTCAAAATGCGTTTTGTCCAAAATTTGTAATTTTTAGAAAACGAGAAAAAAAGAAATTCTGCACACAAGAAAATTACGCATTTTACAGAAAATAATAATATGCTAATCAATTGGATGTAAAATATTAAACAAAATTGCTTAAAATGTTAATGCATTTTGTTTGTTTTTAGTTAAAGAACATAATGCATTTCAAAATGTCTGTTTTTATCAGCACATAAATTAACGATGAAAAAATGCTTTCTGAACACAGACTTCTATAAATAGATGACTTCGTCTCCATGTTTGAAGACAGCGCTGGGCAGCGCCATATTTGTATTTGCTCACTCTCACATAGATAAATCACACGAAGGATAACGTTTGTGTTTTCACATAAATTCACGCGATACTCACAGACACGACACATATATATGCATATGGGAATTAAAACAAGGAGTTCTCTTAAAACAACGAAAAGCTCGGAATCAGGTTCATCTCTTTTTATTACATTAACAATGAGTCAGCAGTCTATTTATATAAAGTGTGTGTCTCTGAACATCGCAGAGTAGCTTATAATGAGCCTTTCAACACTGAACACTACGCCATCTCTAACTAAGAAAATGAAATTTTGGACACAATGCATTTTGGAATTTTGCTCTTCATTTAATAATGAAAAACTGAACATCTGTTTTTTATCCCAAATTGTATATCTTTTATATATCCAGGGTTGGGAAAGTTACTTTTTAAAAGTAACGCGTTTCCGTTAGCGTTATTTATTTAAAAAGTAACTTGTTACTCATTATCGATTTTAAAAAGTGACGCAGTACCGTTACTAAAAAATATAAATGATAAAAAATCGTTACTTTTCGTTCCTTTTTTTGTAATTATGCAGGAGACAGGCCTACTCACCAATTTTTATGAAATTAGGATTATTCGACGTGTTTTTGAACGAATCTGGCAGAAAAATAAGTGTCGCTCTGCCCGGCGAACTGAGATATTAATGGTTATAAAGTTGATGTCTATTGATCGTTTCGTGCAAAAATGTTCGAATAACTCTAATTTTATCAAAATCGACGAAAGCAAAGCTTGTTTTCTACATAGTTACACTTTTTTAAATGTTAAAACAGGCTTCTAAGACAGAATATAATTTAAATAGAAGATATTTAGAAAGATATTTATCTTAGAACATTTTTATCTTTTATTAACGTTTTACATACTTATACTTAATTCTATGGTATTTCACAATAAATCGCTTTCTGTGATATTTTATTATATAATAGATATTTTAGTTCTTATGCTGAAACGAGGATAGTGAATGAAACAAAAATAGGCAAAAAGTTTTTCGTTTAGCTATATAATCTTATTATCCGTGACGGCCGTGATCTATAAAAAAGTAACGACACAAGAGTAACAAAGTTAGTTTCGTTACTAAAGAAAATGTAACGTTATTACTTTTCCGTTACTAATAAAAAAAAATTAACAACGTTACCAAATCGTCATAAAAAAAAAAGTAACGAAAATGTAACGTCGTTACAAGTAACTTCCCAACCCTGTATACATCATAATGTTAATTGCTAAACACTGTATACAAAAAAGTATCGAAAAAGATCCTCTCTTAATTAACTTCTCAAAGCAAACTCGAAGAGAAGAAGAAGAAAGTTATACACCCCTTAGAGAAGGGTTCTTCCCAAATGAGTAAAGTAACGACGACGCATGACGACGATCATATCCGTTTGACAAATCGGTACGACGAGTAGAAGTTTAGTTAAAACTACGGCAAATCACGTGTTTCCGGAAGAGGCCACCGACGAAGAGAGGAAAGCCAAGCTGTCGTGCAAAACTGGGTCGAGCTTCTCTCTCCTCTCCTCTCTTTCCTTTCTTCCTAACTTATGTCGCTTCGTGTTCCGTCGCGTGTACGTGCGTAGTACGTATTGCGCGCTAAATATTCACGATTTGGACTCGCCTGGAGGTTTCTCTCGTCGACCGGTCCTCAGTGACATTCCCTTTTTATCGCTCCGCTCCGAAATGTGCAGGTCGAGGAGATGCGACAGCGGCTCGAGGAGAAGAACCGGATGATCGAGAAGAAAACGCAGGCGGCAATGCAGGCGCAACAGGAGCGCAATCGCATGAACACCGAACTGACAGAAATCAAGGATCACATGGACATCAAGGATCGCAAGATCAATGTTCTGCAGCGCAAGGTGAGCTCTCTCTTCTTCATTTATTTAACTTCCAGTTTCCCCACTGAGAAATTTTCTTCCTCAAGATTCTGTCGTTAAAAGGCTTCGTTCACTTTCATTCCACTATCTATTCTCAACTATTTTCGTCTATCTTTCCACACTTTTACCATTTTCAATACTCGAACTCGTAACGTTTGCGTTCGTCAAGAGTGATATCGCGGCGCGAAGAATTATCTCATTATGATTCATAACTTGGAACGAATGAGTATTATGCGAGAAGATGGTCGGTTCGAAGCAGATAACTTCTGCGAAATGAATTTTCTTATCCCGCATCGCGTTTAGTCCTTCGTCTGAGGAAAGATGCAAATGCAAGAGCGGACAAGTCCGGCAAAATGCTTTCTCTTATCGCGCAGAGGAAGTTAGCGCTTAAGAAAATATTTGTACTAGTACAGATTGTGAAATTAATCGTTCGTTATTTTAAGGGAAAGTGTTACGAGACGCGAAGAGAAGCTTTTCATATTGTCGTATATCTTTCTCTCTCTTCATTATCTTCCTTGAAACTATAGAAACCTTATGTTTGCAACGTGCTTATACATAATAGCGACGTTATTATTGTCCGATTCCCGCATGTGAAGAAAAGTCAGCGTTAAAAATGAAAAGTAAAATAATAAGATGTCTCCTCGTGCTTTGAAAAAAAATGTAAAAAATATTTAGATTTTTAGAAGAAGCGATTGGCGAATAAGTGACACATATATGTAGCATGGCAATACATTGATAAATTCAACACGACACACTAACGTATTGAGAATAAAAAAAATTAAATCACAGATAGTTAAATGATATATAAATATAATAAACAGTTGATAAACACATTGTTACTTTTTATTGACAGAGTAGTGTCTATAATTTTAACGTATAACAATAATTAATATAACAAGGACAGGCCAATGAGAGTGCAAACGCAGGTCGTCACGCGCGGGCGCAATAAAAATACTTTTAAATAATTATAATTACAAAGTTGAGAAGTTATAATATTATAAAATATCGCATATATTCTAAATTTTCGTACGTTTTGACTCACTTTAGAGTCATCCCCAGCAAACATAGATCGAATAATGATTCACGTTCCTCGTAGAATAGTTAAATAGCTAGCAATCCACGAGTGACTAGTCATTTAACTGTTCTACGAAGGATGTGAATCATTATTTTATAATTATAACTTCTCAACCTTATAATTACAATTGTTTTAAAGGTATTTTTATATTGCGCGTAACGACCTGCGTTTGCACTTTTATTAGCCTGTCCATGTTATATTATTTATTTTTGAGAGTCTATTATTTATATATTACAATATATAAATAATGTAAAGCGAAAGGATTAAATCAGTGGGAGAGTTGAATAATACACCCCACGTCACAGACTCCCACACAGAGGAAGAATGGAATGCGCATGAGTACGAGTACGAAATTCAATCAATCGCCTCGTGAATTGCAATCGGCTCTTTGAGAAAATTCCGGGAGCTGATCCCACAAGGGGTGACGTACGTGCTGACACTGCGAAACGTAGAACTCGGTATCGGTATCGATCGCACATGTGACGGCCATAATCCCAAGACAAAAATTACGATTGTCCCGTCGAGGATAAATTTTTAACGTCGTTCCTGACAACGCGGAAGTGCCGATTTAAGCGGAATGTATTTGCGATTGCATTTAATTGGAGATAATTTGCATAAATGTAGCATAAAGTAGAAAGGAAAATCATATATGTGCGATAAGAATAAAGATGTACAAAATGTCATACGTTACATATAATTGTGCAGTTTGAGTAGTCTGGGTCTGCAATTTCCGTAAGATTCTCCTATTAAAAAAAAAAAACACCTGTGATAAAACACGGTGATAAAAATGCGCTACGGTTATCTGTTGGCTCTTTGTACGCGACGGTGATTTTGATCTCGCTTTGATAATGTCTTTGCCTTTGATTATCGCTTCATCAGCTTCGTGAACACGACAAAGGTCTTCCCTTTCCTCTTCATGTTCGATAGAACAGATGCGAGATCCTTTAGAATTAGAGGTGCACATCGTATACTTACACAAAGTATCGAGCACTAATTGTCGCAGCTGAAAAAGACCGACGTGATGGAATGCATTCGACGTGTCGTCACATCCCCGTGATATTGCAATGTCAGAAAAGGAGAATGCGCATGAGTGTCAGTAGTTACGTCGTCGATTAGACCGACATGTGATGTGTGTGTGTGTGGTTCGCGCGCGCGCGTACTCGCCTTTATATGACATTTCTTGCAATGTTTTTGCGTAAATTGCGAAGACGCAATTGACGAAGACGTTACGTTCAGTTGCACTGTATTTGCATCCGTAGCGTATTTTCTGTCCCGTATTTCGTTTTTTGTTAATTTGCATTTCCCTTTTCTTTAAGTTACGTCCTCTACAAGTGATAAAGTGTTATTCGCAGGATCATTATGTTTCTGGCTTAGTTTTCGTCATCATTGAACTACTATACACACTCGATTCTTATGCGTAGAATTTTTCCTTTATTGCAATTGATTGCTAGAGATAAGAAATTTGTAGAAAAACAAGAAGGTAAATTTATTCTGTGGTTTCGTATAGTACTATTTTCGTTTACCATTTCTGTAATGGGTTATGGCGCTTATATTCCTACGTAAATATGAAATTAATGTTATTAATTGATTTATTGTTTTGTGTTGATTATGTCTATATCATGTATAAGAAAACATGTTAATTTGTCAAATATGAAATGTCCTGCTCCCCTTATACGTCCATTATTATATTTGTTTAATGATAAATTGTAAGTTAATTATTTTATTATGTATGTTAATTGTCTAATTTATGTAATATTATATCTAATTGGTTTCTGTACATATAATTTATGTTAATTTCTACACCTAATTTAAATATTTAATTTGATTATCGCCTGTACCATTATTAGGCATCATATTTATATTACGTTATGTTATACTATTTATAGAATCTATTATTTGCTTTCACACAAGCACCGTATTTATTTTTACATTAGCGTGCCTGTCGTGACGATGATGTCTGAGTATAATTATGTGAATAAAAGAAGGTCTACGAAAGAGAGAGTGCGTTGGCAGGTAGGTGGTTACGATAATTTACAATCCCATATTGATATCTCGGGGGATTGCATGATAGAATGTCTCTGACTGCGAATACGCCGAATTTATGATTTGCGTGAAGATCGCATGAAAAGATTATTCTGAGTTTAATTTTCTAAATGTAGCATAATTTTTATGTGTACTAATTTCTCTTTCCATGCCTTCCTTTCTCTTTATATGGTCATATCGATTTCAGGAATGAATTAAAGATCTCCAGAACTATATAAAACAGAGAGAGACATCGGTTTTTTACTTTAAACAACTTTGTGACAAGCTAAAAAAATAAGTTTTTCAGAAAAGAATGACAATGAAAAGAATATATACTTAAAAGTATCATGATCAAATATTAAAAATGACATAACTTAAAATGTCATCAACATTTTATATCTATCTCTTGGTTAGTTAAAATGACTAAATACAAAATAAAACAATTTTTTCTGCAAACTTTGATCACCAAAACTGTTTTAATTTTAAAGATGCTTTGTAGAAGGCTCTTCTTTTTATTTAAAAAAACCGACAATTCAATAAATATCACTCTTGTAGAAGAGATCTTACGATCTTTTTGAAAACCTTAAGAATAATACAAGTGTTATTTGTCGAACAGATATTCTGAAATTAAATCATTTTACTTTTGATGATTAATAGAGTAATCTTTACTTAATTCATTTATATAACTTGATAATTACATTTTTTGAGTTGTCTCACTTTGAAAATAAAGTAACGAAATCGTTTTCAAATAAAAAAATTAATATTCTCGCTTGTTTCTGTACTAACAATCGATTGATGAATGAGCTAACGCTGCTCGCCTTTTGCAATTATTGCTGAGTCTGCTGTTGACTTTAGATCGAGAATCTGGAGGACTTGCTGAAGGAGAAAGATAATCAAGTCGACATGGCCAGGGCCAGGCTGACGGCAATGCAAGCGCATCATTGCAGCAGCGAAGGTGCACTTAGTAGTCTCGAGGAGGCGATTGGGGATAAAGAGAAGCAAATGGCACAATTACGTGAGCAAAGGGATCGAGCAGAGCAGGAGAAACAGGAAGAGAGGGAATTGCACGAAAGAGAAATCGCCGAATACAAAATGAAAATACATACTTTAGAATCCGAGGTGAGCAAGGCTAGATTTTTTTTTATTTCTCATTCTTTATCCACTATTAAAGTAAAATAAATAATTAATAAAATAAATGATAAATTTGTTAAACATCTTTTTGTAAAGAGAGACTAAATAACAAGATACTGTGATACAATTGTAAAGCATTAATTAATAAAACAAAGTTTTTATATTATTTTTTTCCATGTATGAATCGCCAGGTCGAGAAATTAGGCGCGCGTTTGGAACGAGCGCAGGCGGAAAAGGACCGGTTAGAAGCGAAGCTCGAGAGCTCACAATCCGAGCTTGGCAAGAGCAAGGCTGAGCTGGACAAAGCCGCTTCCGAGGTCGGACGTAGCGGCGCAGACTGGGAGGCGGCGAAGCAGCGGCTGGCCAGGTTGGAACTGGAGAACGAAAGGCTGCGGCATGATATGGAACGATCGCAGGGTTACGGTAGAAGCACACTGAACTCGTCCCAGGAAATGGAACGCGTTCAGGAACGTGCCGACAAAACGGCCACAGAATTAAGGAGAGCCCAGGCTGAGCTGAGGGTCACGCAAGCGGACAATGAGAGGGCACGTGCCGAAGCTGCAACCCTCCAAGAAAAGGTAAGGTTTTTATTTTTTTCGTCGTTTGCGACACGATACATGAACTTTAATAGTAAATTACAATAAATTCAAAATGTGCGTGTTACTAATAAATTTATTTAAAAAATTTTTTATTTCTTTTTTTGACTTTTTCGACTCACGAAGATTGATGAGTTCGATTTGTCATAATTTGTTAAATATCACGGAAAAATAATGTCCCTGCCGTAGCTAATCTGGGTTTGTTAAAATATATTTGCTGTGGTAACTATAAATTTATAAACTATGGCGAAATAATTTGCTACTATATAGTATAGGTATCACAGCTAAGATATTAACTATGATACTTATTATTTTAATTCTCCATATTTTATACCTATCATTTAGGGCATTTAGTTACCACACGCAGTTTTTAGTTACAGTAGCTACTTTCTTTTTTCTGTGTATGTATATTTTCAGTTTTGACTGAAGTTATTTTATTATATTTTTTAATATCGTTTATGTGTTAGCAGAGTGGTACTTTATATATATTTCAGAATAGTTATTTAAGGAATAATGAAAGTATCACTTGTCCTAATTCACAAAAGAGATAAAAGTCCCGATTCGGAGCTTTCGATCTCGCGACGATTTACCTCATCTTCTTCGTTTCTGTAGCGGGAGTGCTATTTATACATCAATTATAGTGCTATCGATTGATCATACAGAAGTAACCTGGACTACTTTGCTGGAGCATACGACCTGTATACATACGTCGTCACTCGGCGATCTATTAATGGACGACTGAAGATCCATTTCGGACTGCAACTCGGCAGTTCCATTTCGTCGAGCACTTTCCGAGGATCGTGCTTGAATCGGTCACGTATCTTCGCAAATAAATGATTTTAATCGCGGTCAATTCACAAGAGTTCTCAGTATTTACCTGGAAGACTCTTTCTCATCTTTCTCATCTCGTTTCTTCTCGAACTTCTTCTCCTTTGTCTCGCTTTTCTGCTGTCACCTACATCATTGCCTACATCTTTGTCCACGCAATAAGATTTCCAATCACGCCTTCGTCCTGCACCCGGTGTCTGCAACCGGCAGCGAAGTAACGATCCCGCCACCTAAGTGACTGGAAAATTACTCTCGTACATTACCATATCGCTCGTTTCTGAAGGAGCATGGCTAAACTGTGTGCTTAAGTTTACATTTGTCCTGCTTACCATTTGAGTTAGCTCCACGCAGAGACAAATTAATGACGGAAACTAAAAGACCGTGAGAACTAACAAATCTTTCTAGCGCGGAAAATCGCATTTACGTTCGGTCTTGTGTTACAAGTAATATCTCCTTAATTGAGGGGTTTACTTTGCAAAGAGCATACTCGTGATAAAAGTATTTCTCTACAATGTTGGAAGTATGCATAAACTTTCATTATTCCTACAATAATATTTATAACTGACAGCATCAAAAAATTGCAGTTTCTACTTGCGATTATTATTGCACTTATGATTTTAAGGATCCTTAAAGAAACAGTGGAACTCATAATAAAAAAAAAAGTAATTGCAGTTTGTTCAATTAACTGCAGAAAAGCGTTAAATTTACTTGTAATTTGGAGTTAATTAGCTTTATAAGGCATCAGATAGAAATCCTTTTCTTTTCAAGGTGGAGAAAAGTCAAGGCGAAGTGTACAGACTTAAAGCGAGACTCGAGAATGCTCAAGGCGAACAGGAAAGCCTGCGAGAGGAGTACGATCGAGCACAGGCATCTGTGGCCCGTCTTCACTCCGAGAGAGATAAGGCAATCGGCGAACTCGAAAAATCACAAGAAGAACTCGAGCGCACACAGGCAACCCTCGGTAAGGCGCAACTTCAGCAGGACAAGCTGCAGAATTTATTGGACAAGACGCAAAGTGAGGTCGACAAGCTGCAGGAAAAGCTCGATAAGACGCAGACGGAAGTTCGTAGAGTAAGTAAACTCGAAAGAATCAAAAGTATTGTATGGACAGATTATTTATCGTTATAAATATCTCTATCAGCTTTAAAACGTATATATTTTAGTTCAGAATTATTTAATTAATTTTAAAGTTATTAATGTGTTAAATAAATGACATCAATTTTACATAATTATGTATGTTATTGATTCATTAAAGTACGGTTAACATACGCTATATAATAATTGTATAGATGCAAATGGAAAGAGAAAAACAGAACTACGATTTCGAGAATCTGCAGAGCCAGCTTGACAAAGCATTAGGACAGTCAACGAGAATGCAGAAAGAGCGGGAAGCGATTCAGCTTGATGTGGATCGACTACAGGACAAGTACGAAAAAGCTCAGGTGAGCGCAATTAGCTAAAAATGATTAATCGAGATTTAAATTTAACAATAATTCAATAACTTCTTCATAATTGTTTGTCAGGTTATAATGCAACGACTACAGAAGGAACGAGATAGCTTCCAGGAAGAGATGGAGAAGATGCACGAGAGGATAGAATTCCAGCAGAATCAGATAGCCAAGATGCAACGGGAGAAGGAGAATGTACTCTCAGAACTCGATTTGGTAAAGGAGAGATGGGAGAAGGCCCACAATACTCATCAGAAATTAACGGTGAGTTGAATCAGCTCCTTAGTGGCTCAGTAATAAATGATATTATCTCATAATCTTTATAAACTGTTTTAAAATAATTTTGATATATAAATGAAACAGATTTCATTTTATTAGCCAATATTGATGTTATTCTGTATAAAAGTTGAATTATAAGAAAATTGAAGTTCTCTTTCTGGTTCTTTTTCAATTGCGATGAACAGTTGGAACGAGATGATGCGCTGACTGAAATCCAAATCCTAAAGGAGAAACTGGAGAAGGCACAGTATTCTATGAACAAAGCTCACGAGGAGCGAGAAAACACTACCAAAGAATTTGAAAAGATGTTGGAAAAATACGATAGGTAATACTGACTATTTAAATTGTAAAGATTTAATTGTTTCGAGTATAACGTAACATGACTTAATAACTGACTTATAACAATATTACAGTAGGTACAAAGAATAAAGATATTTAAAACAATTTTAACTTCAAGCATTATTGATGAAATTTTCACAAATTATTTATATAGACAAATTATAGTTAAACAGAACAAAGATTAAATATTTTATGGCCATATGACAGGTCGCAGAGCGAGGTGTATCGCCTTCAGAACCGTATCGATGTTATGGAGGCGGATAAGGATCGACTCGAGCTGGAGACGGAGAAGCAGCAGATGTTGGCGACCAAGTCACGTGAGGAATCGCGTAAGGCTCAGGAGGAACTAGCTCGAGTACAGGAAATGTACGATCGCGCGGCGCTGCAACTCGGTCGTACGAAAGAGCACGAGGAGAAGTCAAAGGAGAACATCGATCGGCTGAGTGTAGATCTCGAAATGGTGCGCGAGCGCTACGAGAAGTCGCAGATCGAGCTGCGACGATTGCAAAACGAGCGCGAGAAGTTGGTGGCCGACAACGAGCGTATCAGCTTCGAGCTGGAGCGCGCGCACTCCCAGCTTAACAAGGCGCAGGCTGCGACGGAGAAGACGCAGGAGGAGCTTGCGCGTATGCAACTTGAGATTGAGAAGATGTACGAGAAGCACGATCGTCAGCAGACGGAGGTGAGGAAGGCGCAGGGCGAAGCGGAACGACTGCGTTCTGAGGCGGAGAACTCGCGCGAGGAGGTCGAGAGGTATGCAACACGTTTCGGCAAGTACCAGGAGAGCCAGGAGCGACAGAAGGAGGAGCACGAGTGGGCGAAGCTGGAGGTGGAGCGGCTACGCGACCGTTTGGAGAAGGCACTGGCGGAACTCGAACGCGCGCGGAAGGCTGAGCAGGACGCCTCGAGGCTGCGCGCCGATCTGGAGCGTGCGGAAGGCGTGCGAGGTAAATACCAGTACGAGCAAGAAAAATGGCAAAGCGAGGGTAGTAGGCTACAACAGGAGGTGGACAAACTACGCGAGCGATTGGAAGGCCGTGAGGCCGAGCTGAAGAGGACGCAGTCGAACCACGCCGAGCTCGAGGCGAAGCTGCATGAGGCGCAGCTTCAGCTCGAGCGGGCGCGCGATGAGACCGGCAAGGCTACGGCGCAGCAGGAACGCAATCGTTCGGAAATCGAGCGTGCGCGAATCGAGGCCGAGAAGATACGCGACCGACACGACAAGGTGAAGATACGATCCGATGCGCTCGAGGCAGACAACGAGAAACTACGTGTCGAGATTGTGCGGCTGGAGCGGCTGATGCAGACCGAGGGTAAGACGAGATCCGAGAGCGCAAGTATTGAAGTAGAACGTCTACGAGCTAGCCTGGACAAGGCGATCGTGGCGCGTGATCAGGTTGAACTTGAGGCTGGCAGACTCGCGAAAGAGCTCGAAAAAGCGCACCTGCAAACTGCTAAATATCAGGAAGCTACCGAGGCTACTAAGAAGGAGGTTGAACGTATCGCTGCAGATTTGCAACTGCTGCGGGACGAACGCGATGCGCTACGCCAAGAGTTGCGCCGCGTGCAACAACAACAACAGCAGCAACAGCAACAGCAGCAGCTCGCTGGTAACGAAGAACATGCCCGGATGCAGTACGAGCTGCAGCTGGCGCAACGTGAACGCGACAAGATGGCAGCAATCTTGGAGAACCGGGAGAAACACTCGGAAAAGATGAAGGAGAAGTGGGAAGCAGACGCGAAGCAGCTGCAGGTAGAGCGCGATCAACTGGTTATACAACTGGAGAAGTCGCAGGAAATGCTGGTCAACTTCCAGCAGGAGCTTAGCGCGAACGAGGCCGAGCTCGAGCGTCAGCGCGAAGAGGCTCGCCGTCTCCAACAGCGTGCCCACGCGCAGACACCCGATCGCGCCGCCAAGGAGGCGCTTGACGCGCAAATGCGCGAAGTTCAACGGCTGCAGCAGCAGGTACAGAGTGTACAGCAGGCGCAGCAGAAGGAGCGACAGCGTGCCGAACAGGCAGAGAAGCGAGTGCAGGAGCTGCAGAAGCAGTTGGCGTCGCGCGGCACCGAGACGGTTCAGGCTGACGCGGCTCAGCTTGAGCAGTGGCGGAAGTTATGCGAGACGGAGCGGCAGCGGGCAGACACTGCTGAGCGTGAGGCTGGTGACTTGCAGAAGCGGATACAGACGACGGAACGACAGTTACATGCGCATCAACAGCAGATCCAACAGATGCAGGTCACCATGCAACAACAACAACAACAGCTGCAGCAGCAACAGCAACTGCAGCCCGCGCAACAAAACGGTCAGGAGGTCGTTAGGCTGCGAAAGGAGCTGGATCGCGCGCGCGAGGAGATTCAACAGGCGACAGTGGAGCGCGAGCGGTTCCAGGCACAGCTCGAGATGCTGTGCCAGGAACTGGAGAAGAATCAGGTTAGCAGCCGCAGCGGCGGCGGTTCTGAAGCACGTGTCGGCCTCACATCGTGCTCGCTCGTGCTGCTGACTACAGTTCACAATCCAGCCATTCACATCACCAATCATCACCATAATAAGCACCATCACTATCTCCATCAGTACCTCAACTGTCACCATCACTATCATTACTATCCTGCGCACTCTGCCCGCATTCTATAAAAAAAAAATATCCCCCGATGTGCAATCGAGTCGATTGTTGAAAAAGCAGAACGATAAATCTCGTCTCTTCTTCTTCTTTCTTCTCTTCTTCGATTCGAAGACAGATACGTCCAATAGACTGTCACATACGCCGCCAGAAAAAAAAATATGTAACGAACAAATATATACATATATATATATATGTGTTAATATACGTGATTCGGGACCAACCAGACACGCTGCACCATTCATGTGCGCACATATCACTTATCGTACATGTGCGCAAGCAGATATCCGCAGCACAGTGCAACGTCCCTTCATCAGAAGATCATTACTCCAACGACGGTCTCTCCTTCCTTAATTCCTTTCTTCCAGACAATATTTCCAAGCACTATCATTTGTCGCTCATTGCTATCAGAATATGTTCAAAGTTTTTATTGTTATGATTATATTGTCTCTGTTGTTTTTTATCGTTATTGTTATTATTACTGTCAGTATTAATATTATTATTATTTATTATTATTATCGTTGTTGTATTTTTAGTCGCCCAGTGGCACTGTGATTATTATTGTTATATGATAAAGAAAGCGAACGCAAAAAAATATTTAGAACAGCTGATAATTGACATACAGATAAAAGGATCAACTGTCTGAACACAGACATTAGAGATGGAATGATAAATAAGTCAATGAAAAAATAAAATGATTGATTATAGCTTGTTCGCTCGCTTTCTCTCTCTCTCTCTCTCTCTCTCTCTCTTTCTCTCTTTCCCGATTATTATTACTATATTTAGTCATATTATTATTACGGCTGCGCTTATGCCGCGTTTAAACGTGGCAGCAAGGAGTAATCGTGAAAAAATTTATGTTGGAAAGCATGCACTGCATCAATAAGATGAGGAAATATCGCTCATATTCTCATGATTTCTCTGATTTCTGAAATTGTCTTCTGTGTAAGAAGCATGCAAGGATGTAAACCTTTATAGAAGTATGTCAGAGAACTCTCAGAGGAACGGTATTCTCCTCTCTCTGATTGGTGCACATCTCGAGCGTTTGCTCATGTACATATATTTCTCATTGTAGGTATATACGTTGTTTTATATTATACTCGCCTATTATACTTATAAATTTTTATTACAATTAATATATCTCTCTGTATGTACATACATATCTCGTTATATATTATATAATAATTAGATATGGAAGAGTGTCTGTGTCGTCGCGTTCGATTCGTTTTATTATTATTACTATTATTGTTGTTATTATTATTATTATTATTATTATTATTATTATTATTATTTACCTTCATGCATTCACAATTTTGTCATGTCGACCAGTTGGTCGACAGAACGCAGCTCTCAATCTTCCCACAAAATTTATTTTACGTACAGTAATCTCAATCTATAATCAGTTGTAGAAGAAATAAAAATATATCAATCGATTTTTATTTGTAAAAATGGGAATACTGAGAGTTAATGTGTAGCTTTACGATCTAATTGCACTTTGGACATTGAGATTTATATACGAACAAGTTATGGCAGAACACATTAAGCCAAAGCGCAAGTAGATAGTCGTCGGTTTTGCATTTTGGAATGGTCATTATCATAGCTCTTACAGCACACATCAGCTTCTCTTTCTCTCTTTGTCTCGCAGTTGATTTTCTGGCTAATCCAGAAAAAATTAATAAGTCGTGCATGCGATGAAAGTACGAGGGATGCTACAATTGATTCCTTTCTAAATGCAGGTGGATTTGCACGAGGCGAACAAGAAACTCCAAGCTGGCGCCGCGAAAGCTGGTGCCGATACTATTCAAGAGAGGAAACAGATGGAGGATCAAAGACGACAATTGGACGAGCAGAGAAGACAGATGGAAGAACGAGCGAAGACCGTAGATCAGAAAGCTAGGACGACAGAGGAAAAGGAGAGGACGCTCCAAAATCTCGACCAAGACCTCAAAAAGAGAAAGGCGAGAATGGACCAACTGGAGCAACAATTACAGAAGGTAATTATATTGTTTGTCAAAACGTTCTTTTTGTAACTATATTATAGTTTTAGTTGTATATATTGTATAATTATTACGAATATTTATAATGACCATATTATATTGTAATTTATTTAATTGAAAAGCGGAAGTCATAGCGATTAACATCAAAAGTTTTAATTTCGAATTTGAGAAAATTTATTTACTAAGCTTACTTAATTTTTATTTTTAATAAAAATTACTACTTTATTATTAAAAAAAATAAATCATTCTCTTATTAATAACACTGTATAATTTTACTAAATGTATTTGTTAAACATGAACAAATTCATAGATGGTTTTTTTCATTAAATTTATTCAATTTAATAGAGTGGCGGAGCGCCGGACAAGAGATTAGCAGAAATGCAAAAGGCTCTCGAAATTGCCGAGAGGGATTTGGAAAAAGCGAAAGAAGAATCAGGCAGGAGTGCCGCCGAGACCGAGAGGCTATTGCAGCTCGTGCAGATGACACAGGAGGAACAAAACTCAAAAGAGAAACAGATCAGAGATCTTCAAGAGTGAGTATCTCAAACGCGATGACGAAAAAACATCTGAAATAGAGCCAAATGCAAGGTGAACGCGCATGTAATTAAATTTTATTAGTATAATACGACAAGTTATAGACATTTCGACCCAACATCCCTTTTAACTTGTAATACCGATTCTGTATTCATTTTATATTATGTTATATTTCAAAGATATAAAACAGTAGTTTTTCGTTATTATGTATGTACAATTTCATATGATATTCTTAATTACAAATCTAGAAATACGGTAGTGTCTCGGCGCTAAGCATAGCGTGAGATAAGCATAACATGACGTGAAATAAATTACTTATAGATATCTTTTAAAACATGTTATAACAAAATAATTATACAGAAAATAACAAATTTATTAATAAGTTTATATGAACTATTTATTGATATTTTTTATATATATATTTTGAAATAAATTAAAGTAATTTCACTAATATGCTCTTAATTTCTTCATCGCAGAGCACTCAAAACCGCACAAGCCAAGTTGAAACAAGCTACAACTGCACAGCAAGAGGTCAGTATATTTCATACATACTTGCGGAGTATTGATAATAAGAAAAATATAAATTAATTAATTTATATTAACACATATTCTTCTTCCATTTATTAATCTACTAACTACTTGTCTTCTGACATTTTCCACGCTGCTTTTGGATATATACACGCCATTCACATATGCTTCACATATCGCCGCTTATCCTCTGTACGTATTTCCTTTTGGTTTTGCGCATTGACAAAATACGACAAAAATATAATAAAACAAAAATATTACAAATTTTTTTCTCGAAACAATGCTAATAGGCGGGACCCGCCGGATTCCTAAAAAGCTTGTTCTAAGGTCGATTTTTGTTGGGGACGCCTTCTCCGTTCTTTTTAGTACAATTTGCATATTATAAGCGAGACTTTGCGAGTATAGACGTATATACGAGGGACTTAAACGAAGGATTGATGTCGATCCGCCAATGGACAAAACCCACGTCGAGACATATAATTATTTTACGTAAAATGCTACGACCATTGTTAACGTATTCAATAATTATAGCGAAAGGATAATAACGATAATAACACAACAATAACTTGATATAAATACAAATATTGAGAATAAATAATTATTGAAGATAAAATTATTAATATAAATATATAAATATAAATTTAATGCAGAGGATAACTTATAAATACATATTAATGCGACGACGCGAGAGAAGACAACGGAAACAATAACGTTAATTAATTATTACTAAGAAGAATCCGGAATATATATACATATATATAAATACATATATATATATGAATATATATAAATATACATACCTACATACCGGCGTATACACAAGAGATACAAATACACGCGCATCCATCTGTACATACATACTATAACACGACCGCGGAAGATATACGTATGTAGATGTATATATGTATGCACTCACGTAAATAAAAAATATAAATACAAGTTTAAATCGAGAGAAAAAAGAAAGAACAAAGAAAAATCAGATGGCGAACGGCAGACGCGAAGAAAAAGGAGACAACAAAGAATCGCGAAGAGATAATTTAACGAATGATTATTTAAATATACTGAGATAGAGGGAAGAATGAAGATTAAAAATAATATCTCATCACTTGAAGATGCACTTTCGCGTTCTTCGCATCGATCGATGCATGTATACAGATAAAAAATGCACATATACATACACACATACATATACATTCACCTTGATCTGTTTCCTCCTGTGTGCTTCCGCCTTTGTTTCGTTATCGCCATCCCGTACATTTTGCCACTTTGCCAACAAACGTCGCTTCGGCACGCATACCGCACGCTAGTCTCAGGATAACAAGGACGAGTCTTCTTGGCGAAAAGCACTAGAGGCGAAGAACCGTGCCATATTCGAGCTGGAAAGAACGATGGAGAATCTCCAGATGGAGCACGACAAGTGCAAGGACCTGTTGGGTGACGCGAAATACATTGAATCTTGGAAGGAGGAGACGGAGACGATGAATCAACACATCGTCCAGCTGGAGCAACAATTGAAATGCTGTGAGGGCCTAAAGAACATTAATGGGGACGACAAAATATCAAACAAGGATATTGAAACGCAACCGAAGGCGTGCGAAAATTGTAGTCTAAACGCAAAGGATCGGCGTATCCTTGCACTGGAGCGGCAAGTGACAGCCTTAAAAAATTCCTTGAAGAATCACACGAGCACAACGAAATCCTCAGAAAAGGATAACAGCGATGAGAAAACGAACGTGAAAGTGGAGGAGTCCTGGAAACAGGAGATCGAGGCAAAGAATCAGCACATCATCGAACTGAAGCAGAAAGTAGTGTTGCTTGAAAATCTCCTACGGAAAAACGTGGATGCGCAGAAAATGCGCGATCTTGAGAAAAGGATCAACAGGAAATCCAAACGGATCGTGGAACTGGAGAACGCCGTAGGAGAACTCGAGGACTTCCTCAAGGAGGATGTGAAAGAGATGCGTGATCTGCGATATCAGATATCGCTCGATAAAGATTGTATTATGAAAATGGAAAAGTGGATCCAGAAGAACAATCTCATGAATGCGGGAATTGATAAAGCGAGAATTATAGAGCTGGAGGAAATGGTTACGAATTTGGAGGATTACGTCAAAGAGCACGACATCGACGGCCTTAAACGAAAGTTGCAGGATCGAGAATGCAGAATTGTTCAGTTAGAGAATCAAATTTTTGAGTTGAGAAAACTGTCAAAATATGAAGAAAATAAACCAGGTAAGTGAAATCTCCACTAAATTTGTTGTGTTTAAAAATTTTTAACTATATCATTGTTTTTATTTTGTTTTTAGTCAAAGACATGCCGAAGGTGAACTTTCTATCTAATAATGAAGTAGCTTGTGAGCTAGAAGAAAAAGAACAAAAGGGCGTGATGCACGCCGTTTTGGAAGAAGTTAATAAAATTCAAGAGTACGAACAAGAGGAGAGCCTAAAAATAAAATTGCAAGAAAAAGAGCAAAAGATGAAGGAAATGGGGCATGATATTTCGGAAAAAGATAACAGAATTCAAAGATATGAACAGCAAATTGTCGAGCAGCAAAATAAGATTTTGAAAATGGAAAAAGAGATGGCCAAAATTGAAGAAGGATTTTACGAAACGGAAATCATTAGTGCGCTGAAGAAAGAAATTAGACTAAAAAATGAGAGGGTGCAGGAGTTAGAAATGGAGGTCAATTCTTTAGAGACATCGCTCGGCGAGAGAATTGATGTCGCGATTGAAGAGCTCATCGCCACCCTAAAGGAAAAGGAAGAGATAGAGCTTCAATTGAAGAAGAACCTCGCGGATAAAGAGAATAAATTGGAAGAATTGGACGCGGCTCTTCGCCAGAGCATTGCAATTACGGATGAGATTGAGGCGAAGTTAAAGAATGAGAAGAAGCTTAGAAAAGAAGCCGACCAAAGAGTAAGTTGGAAACCTTTACAATATATTAAACTTGTTTTATACATATTGTTTTAGTCATATTCGATTCATATTATTATAAAATAAGCATAACATTTATAATATAATACAATTATTTCAAATAAAATTTATTTATTTTACAATGTAATAATTAATAACATTACAGTAACAATAAATAAAATAAAAAATACATTTGCAGAAAATCTGTAAATAATTATACATTGTTGATATTTATACCGCTTGAATATCTGTGCTTGCCAATACGTATTGCCATTAGTTGCGTTAATTCTATAATTTATTTTTTATTTTTAATTAATTACTTGAAAAAAGCGATACAGTCATTGGAACGTTTCTTAAAAAATTACTTATTATCTTATCAGATTGCCGAGATAGAGGAAAAAATCGCAGTCATGCAAGCTGCTTCAGCCACGAAATGCATCACGTGCAAGCCGCTTCTTTATAAGATATTTAAGACCGAAGGGAAATTCGGCCAGTCGAATCAGGAGAAGACTGTTCAACTTCAAGAGTTGCATCAAATTAAGTGGGTGTTTCAATATACAAATAAAAAAACAGTTGTATGTATGTGTACAAATATAATATACTTTTAATAGTTTATTTTAATATTGCTGGCTCCCTTGCAGGCGTGATGTTTTAAAAGCTGCCCTTTCCGAGAAGGATGCTCATTTAGCTTTGTTGGAACATTCAGGCATCCAAACTCCGACACAAGCGGATGAGGCGGCGAAACTAAAAGCCGATAAGAAAATATTACTTGATAGACTGAGGGAAGAGGTAATTTAAGAAGTTAAAAAAATCTTCGGTTCTTATATGTATAACAACAAAAACAGAATCGTCATTATTGATATTTTCCAGGATGAGAAGAGTATCAAGTTAGACCTGCGGGAAACAACATCACACTTATTTCAAAAAATATTCAAGATATCCGATGACAGTGAGGACAGTAGCGATAATAATAATAATAACTCTTTTGATGATCGCTTCAGTAGGATCAATTCACCGAAATCAGTTGCTGTGAATGATGACAACTCGCCGACATCGGCTACTACGAGTTGCAAATATTCGTAAGTTGTCAATAATATTTTTTTAATACAATAAAAATAAATAATTAATCTTAGGAGATATTTTACAGAACAAGGACGTCGCTGGTGTCCGATATGAAAGACGAAGATCACTCGTAGATTCATCATCAGGATACCAGATAAGTACTCGAGTACCACTTACGGTATTTCGGAGTATCGGTTTCTTCGTTACCTCGATGTTGTCATACGCACACACACCCGCGAACGTAGAGGCAGTGTATAGAACATCTAGTAGCAAAAAAGAAAACGAAACAAACAACAGCAAAGAAACTCTATAATACACCATTCAATATCAGCAACTACAGCAACAGCCAACACCCCTGCCTGTGCCGCTCATCACGCATCATGCATCTATCTTCATCACCATCATCATTCTTCTTCGACATTTATTCGACATCTCTCACCATTAATCGACATTTTATCATCCATGTAATATATAGTGATTGAAAAAATTCCGAAGTCCAAAATCAAGAAATCAGAGGCTTCTACAGCCCGCTCCATAATCCAAATAGATAGCATACATTCGTTTTACCATGGATGAAATATAACAACAATGGATGACATATGATGGTTTCGGATAATTTATCCTGACAATATATTAGGCATTTATCTTTTCTCCTTTTGACATCAGCGACATTTGAATTGTTACAGACATGATAATTTGTTATTATTGCAATAATGTATCGAAATATGAATTGTTGTTTATTATATATAGTTTCTTACAGCCCGCAACGTAAGATTGTTAAAAAATCGACAATTGATTAGAAGATCAATGTTTTATATTTATTTCTTTAATATATTTAATTTTAGGTGTATAATTAAATTAGTGCTGCAACAAAATAAAAATTAAATTAGCAGAGAATTAAAAGGAATGATTAGCGTGGACTTGGAGTTTTGTTTCTTGGATTTTTAAACAATTCGAACATTTTAGAATATCCAAATATTTATAAATAAGATTTCTAATTATTTACATATAACTATTTATAATTTAATTTGTTTGAAGAATTTAGCTTAAATTAATGAGTTTACATATACCAACATCACTTTATAAATAAAATTACAATTGGAATAAATTATATAATCTCTGCCGTCTTCGTCCTGCAAAGAAAAAAATAAGTGAATTAAAAAAAAATTTAGTGTAAGAAAATTTACATTATGCTGCGTTTGTAATCAGAAAAATTAGCTTTGCTATTAAATTATTTTTTTATTTTTTTTTATTTCTGTTTATCTTAACATCTACGAAAATGAATCGAGAAACTGTCAATTTTGGAAACAATGTCTGTGATTTGAGGAAATTAATATTTAAAAAATCAAAAAATTCAGAAATATTTCTGAATGTATCACCAGAGGATCATATTAAATCACTGCAATCGTCACGCTAATAGTAAAGATGGGAATATATAGAAGAAATACACCGTTGTGTGTAAGTACCAAACGATGTGCACGAACGCTCTCTTTAGAACGCACTTTGTGGAAGATCGCGGAAAGCCAAAAGAACGTAGCCGAGGCACTAAAGAATATCTCTTGTAAATAATATTTACGTTATTTCTTCCACCCATACAATTGTCCCGAAAGTAGTGTAAACAATTTCTTGGAAACTTCTATTTAAAAATCTATATTTGTTTCCAAGGTACACTACTATAGAATAGAAATTTATTATGTGTACATGCATATCTCGCTAAACGAAATCCACATTTATTCGAGACTATCCTATCGGAGAATGCACGATCATTATGCATATGTATATCGCACAAGGGGATTACAGATCGTAATAAAATATTGCAAGGAAGAGACGATACGCTTTAAAATCTCGATCATTGAGTTTAAATAACATATGAATTTGGAAATGTTTTTTTTTAAGGCATTGGTAGAAATTTGTTGCGTGTGACAAATTATATTTAAATTAAATTAATAAAATGAGACTACTGTTGCATATTAAACTGCAAGATACGTTGTCACAGATCTCATAAAACGTGCATGATACTCAGTTGCGATATTTCATTGCGATCTCCTTTTTCTCTTTACACCAGTTGACGACTTACCGTCAAAATTTAATAGAAACGGCATAAGACGTTATAAAGAGCTTGGAAAAGTGCTGGAATGTCATTTTTTTAGACAAGCTGGCGAGCAATCTGAGATGCTGCGACGTGTGATGCAATATTTATAACGCGAGTACGTTGCAACGTTTTTGAATAATATATACATCGGCTTCTTGCGAGAACCATAACGTATTAAAAGAAGAAAATGATCAATGAAGGAACATCCTATCGGATGGCACGTTCTTTGATCATTTGATCTCGCTCGCCACTAATGTCGTCGCGTCTGCCATTGCGGTGGGTTAAACTGCAAAACGTTGAAAGTGTAAAATTTTATCGTTAATACTTGAGGATAGCCCCTCCGTGAATTTCACGGATACGGCAGCACTTTTCTTGTTGCTGGCTTATCCATTCGTTTATTCGTTTAACTACGCCTCTTTGCATCTTGATGAAACGAACCACTTAGAAAAAGACTTATTAACTCGACTTTAATATATCTAAACGTTAGGACAATTGTAAGCTGGAATCAAAGTGCGTGTTGTGTGTGACGCGGATATTTATTGCAGCGGAGCATCGCGAGCCGTGCTTAAAATGTACATTTGAAAATTCGAAAGAGTATCAGTCTTTTACGTAAACTATTATTTTTTGGAATTAGTAATTAAAATCATTATTATTTTTCTTTTTTATTTATTAACAATAATATTTAATTAGTAAAAACTTAATGTTTAAATATTGTATATTATATTGTTATTATATTATTACTTTAATTTTAATTTAACAATATATTTTTTATTTAATAATATATTTTCAATGACTAAAAATTGCGATACTTGGCCGTAATCCTCAGAATATATATAAATAGCTACAAAACAGCTTCCTCTCTTATTTCTGACCTCCAATCTCATGTAGATGCACGTGCAAAGATGAGATAATTTCAGTTAATGTCACCAGAGCTGCATGAATAAAATAAAGTGTAAAGAGTGAAAGCGAGAATTATATTTAAGTTCAAATTTTCCACAAGAATCAAAGACTGTAGACAATCTAATAGTTATTGATAATTGCCCGGACCATCTAAATATTTTCTCTGTCTGGAATCAATAAGAGTTTATAAAACACGTTCTCTTATTATTCATATTTATATAAAGATGTTAAAGAGATGGTAAAATTTTATTAATGACATTACAAATTGTTGAGACGTTCTAAGTTTCATAAAAATAATAGCTGTTGTTATTTAATTTTTGTTATCTTTAATGTTTTACATCTTGTAATTTTCGTATTTGTTTACAAGAGTTACTGTCAATTCTAGATGAAGGATATATATAGTGTGACCGTTAAATATCTCTTTCGCGTCGATTGAGTCGAGAGATCGAAGGTGAGATGGAGAGGAAGAACGATGGAGAGAAAAATGAGAAGAAACAATTAGTTAACGTGTGCCACTGTCATATCAAGCCTATATCATCGTGTTACATCATATGTAGCAAAGCAAAAAATAATATTATCGTTAATTGACACAATTGTTAACACAGAACGAGTGATCGAAGCATGAATGTGCTGTATGTCTGATAAATCAATTTTTAAAAAATTGCTAACATTATTTTTCCAATGTAGAATTTTTTAACAAAATCATGTAACTCTAAATACTTATCTCACTTTTACAATCTTATTTGTACACAATATTCGATCTTTCTAAAATTCTCGACTCTTACCCATCTTGATTAACATTGTGAATACCAAATCTAATCACTTTCGATGTTTCAACTCTTTGAAATAAGCTACTTAATTCGATAATAATTTTAATTTGCAATTTCTGTTTCATGAAAAACTGCAGGGAATATATGACCATATGCACGAACGGGAAATGCGATAGACACAGACAAAGTATCAAATCGAATTTCTTGTTGACATACTAGATTCTACTAACGTAATATAACAATATAATATATAATAGTAACATATTATCCGATCACTCCACAAAGATCCTTTCGATACAATCGATGTCGTAGAATTTTTGTCGTCCGCATTGAAACGGTGAAAAGAGTTCAGGTGATGGAATGAACGAGGGGGAGGATGCGATTGTATTTCGCAACAGATCGCGCCTAAATTATTAGAAGCATAATAAGCGGTAGGATAATAAGCACTCGTTAAACTTTAAGTCCAATTTCATTTATCCGCGAGATCATTGGTTGTGTTTAGCAGAGAAAACTAATTAGTTAGTACTTAGTGATGTTCTTTAGTATTATTAGTTCCTACACTTAGATTCAGCAAAGAACTATAGGTAAGAACCAATCATATTAAGGAATCACTAAGCTCTAACTGATTAGTTTTCTCTGCTGAACGTAGTCATTGTTACTTGACTTTCATCCGTTAATCGATACCGCGCTTGGATTTAAAATCGATCATTTTGGTGAATGAAGAGTATCTGTAAATTATTAATTATTGATTATTAAATAATTAATACGTAATTACTAAATGCCCCCTTATGCCTAAAGAAATTTTTCAAAAAGTATCACTCGAGAAGATACAAGGCTTAATCGCGCACTATCATTATAGACTGTTCGCTGTAATAATTCATTGATTTATCGATTATCATCGAAATCCTCCCCTCGAACCTCACCAATTTATACGGCACTCAAGGTGATCCTAAGGCAAGACTGCAGAGTGAGACGAGAGTGAGAGGCCGAGTGAAAGAAAGCGAAAGAGAAGCGGTCCTGATATTTTTTGACTCGTGACTGTTAAGTGTCCACGATAAGAAAATACCAAAAAAAGAAATACGATTTTTATGTAAATATTGTAAGGAACGCCGTACTGACGTTACTGTAATCCTTATTGGATGCTATTTCGAGATAAAATTTTAAAAAAAGATATTAAAATTCATGGTTGAAAATTTAGTAAAAACTGAAATAATACGATATATAAATTAAATTAAAAAGTAATTATTCATACTTCAATGAAAACATAAGTACAAGTAGTATACAAGTATAACAAGTCCAATTCGCAGATATCGACGTTTCTAATTTTCATTACTGTTTTCTTGTTTTTTTTTTGCTGGTAATAATATGATAACAGTATTGAAAATAAAACGTTCCTACGAAAAAAAAAATGCTTCAAAGTCCATTGCATCCGATAAGGCTCGACAACGGTACGACGTGATTTCAACCCGCTCCTTTTCTATTCTCCAATTTCTACGTGTTTAATCGTTAAATGAACAATTGACAACAAGTCTTG